ATAAACACCCTTACAAAAAGAAATTTGGGGGGAAGGGTTTGGTTGGGTTTTTTTGTTGTTGTTGTTGTTGTTGTTGTTGTTTTTTTAAGTTCATAAGTCCAGGTTGCAGCCTGTAGTTTCAGGGAGGCCACAGTGGCAAGAGTTTGAAACAGCTGGTCACACTACATCCACAGACAAGAGCAGAGAGACGTGGATGAATGCATATTCACTTGTTTGATTGTTTGCCTGGTTTAGTAAAACTTCTTCACTCACTTTTATACAGTTAAGGCTCTTCTTCCTGCCTAGGGAATCATGCTGCCCACAGTGGACCCCATTTTCTCACATCTCTTAACAAGTAGGACAACTCCCCTACAGACATGTCCACAGGTCAACCCAATGTAGATAATCCCTCACTGAGACCGTCCTCCCAGGTGATTCCAGGTTATGTCAAGTTGACAAAGCTGACCATCACATCTCCCATAGCCTGATGTCCCAGAGAATAATAAAGCAAGAGATGAGCAGAGTCGTTCTTGTCATGGAGTGTAGGCTTTAGGAATTGGTTGTCCCTACTCCAGCTTGCAATAATTCACTACTTCATCCCTGCTGGGGTGGCGGTCTGCACCCCACACTTTCCCCTCTATCTTTCTTTTCTCTTGTCCTCAAAGATAGCATTGGGAGAAAGGCCACAGTAGGGATATTGACAATGGGGTCCATGATGGTGAATGCCTCAGATTGCCAGGTTGGTTGTCTCTAAATACAAGCTGAAAATTAGTAATAATAATGATAACAATAATAATTCAATGTTGAGTGTTAGCTAGGTAGTAGTAGCATTATTTATTTTGTTTTAAAAATTATTTTATTATTTCATGCGTATGGAGGTTTTGGCTGCAAATCTGTGCACCATATGTGTGCCTTGTGCCCTCAGAGGCCTGAAGAAGGTGTCAGGTTCCCTGGAACTGGAATTATGGATAGGTGTGATAATAAAACAAAGGCTTAACCTCTCCCCCAATACAAACATATTTTCTGACTTCCATTTTGAAATTAAGACATTTTAAAAACATATGTATTGCTTTAATTTAGCAGTTTCCATAATCCAATGTCTATTAGCAGCTATTTTTTTGTACATTAGCATTTAAAAAAAATTCGAAGTCAGTAATGCACCATACAGGATCCAGATGCCCTGTGTGTTTCCCATTCTTATGTGGCTTATTCCTTTTATATTACTTTACTCTTTTTTAAAAGACTTTATTTTATTATTTTTAAACTATTTTTTTCTATGACTGTCTATACCCATTTTTTATTGTATCTGTTTAAAGGTTTTCTTGGTCTAGACCTGACTTTCTGTGTGTCTGCAGCATTCTTTGACTGTGAGACAAACCTTAAAATGGCCATGTCAGATGCCGCTCAGCTCAGCTTAGCATACAGCTCTGGTACATGGCTCTGGTGCATGCCCCTGGTGGCTGGCTCCAGCCCACAGGGAGTGGCCAGGAGCTGTGTCTCTGTATGCCAAGCACCAGCTCTCCTGAGAAACTGCAGGACTAGCAAGCCACATCCGGCTCCTTGCCCAGAACTTTTCTTAGCTTTCTCAGGCCCTATGTCCGGATATTTGAGCCCCAGGTTGGGTGCATCATATGTAAAGAGTCTTTTTCTGTTTCACCAGCCAGCTCCCAAATAATGACATGGAGACTTATTATTAATTATGAAAGCTCAGCTTAGGCTTGTTCCTAACTAGCTCTTAAAACTTAAATTAACCCATTTCTATTAATTTATGTGCTGTCATGTGGCTCATGGCTGTTAACTCTCCTCCTGTATATCTTACTTGTTCTATGTCTCCTGGTGTCTCTCTTATGCCTAGATTCCTCTCCTTCTTCCTCTCTCTCTGCCCAGAAGTTCCACCTATACCTCCTGCCTAGCTATTGGCTGTTCAGCTCTTTATTAAACCAACACAATATCCCACAACATAATGATGCATGGGAATAATAATAATAATAATGATAATAATAAAATAATGTTATTATTATTATTCCCAGTCATCAGTCTTAGTGTTTTTGTTTTTATTTCTTGTGCAGAAGCCTGGGTTAATCAGACTCCCCAGACTGTTGAATTGCCCATGTCTTATTTTACTTATGCACATGCTTATCCTTTTTGCTTCTCCCTCCTCATAGGCACACAGGCTCACAGGCTTGATGCTCATCTTCTTATGCATATGCATCTCTCCAAAGATGGATGGTGATCTTATATGTAACACGCTAAATTTACAGAAAAGGTAGTAAGTGGCCAATTTTATATGGATTTTAGACCCACCCATGGTTAGAGATGTGGAAGGACACTGGAAGGGACATAGCATCACATCTCAATGGCATCTATTTCATTCTGTTCCCATGACAACACTGACAAAGCCTGGCACTGATGAATGGGCAGTGTGCCTAACTCTATATGTCCAGCCTTTGGGCACTCCCATCTTACACTACACTGTGAATCAGGGACGGATTTTTATTACTGTACCATCAGAGTATAACCCAGTGGCTGTTAGCAGAGTCACAGAGTAATGTGGCCATCATCACTACTTCTAGAATGTCCCCATCATGCCCCAAAGAAATCTCATCACTATCTAAAGACTCACCCGTCTTCCTCCCTTTTTCTCTTCCCTGTCTTGAGGTGACCACTGGTCAACTTTATATCTCTTTGTTGTGAGATCTAAACAGACCTTCTGTTTCTGGACACTTCATCAAGCAGGAAATCCTATAATGTGTGGCCTTCTAATGGCTGGCTTCCTCAATTTAGCACAAGGTTCAAGGTTCATCCATGTTGTGGTGTGTATCAGTATTTCACTCCTTTGCATGGCTGAGTAGTATTTCATGGCACACCTGCAGCACATTTTGTTTACCCTGTCCTCTGTTGATGCATTCCAGGGGAATTGGGCACTGGTCAGAGCTGCACTGGAGAGGTGTAGACAATGGATACGATGAAGTCAGGAGGATTTCTCAGTCAGGAGGCTAATGACGCAAAATTAGTGTTTTAGAAAGTTACTATGGCAGGCCTGTGGCACTCAGGTCTGCAGGGAGGCAGAGTTGGGAGTGAGGCTGGACGGACTACAGAAATTAGGAACAGACATCAGGGAGACCTCTGTGCAAGCTTGCCAGGTGCAAGCTCCACCTCTCCCTGGCTCCTCCCAGTTCCATTTACTCACTTTTTTCTTCCTCCCCCTCCCCTCCATCCCTCTCCTGCTCATGCTCTTTTTTCTCTCTCACTTCCTTCTCTCCTTCCCTCTCATCTTCTCTCTTCTTTCTCCCTGTCTCTCTCCCCCTTTCATTCTCTCTCCCTCTTGCTCTCCTTTCTTCTCCCCCTCCTCCTTTCCTATTCCCCTCATAAGTTTTCCTTCCTTCCTTTCTCTCTACCCCTCCCATCCCTACCTATTTCTTCCCCTCCCCTCCCTTCTCCTCTCCCTGTCTCCCTCCCTTTCTTACATAAAACCAAGAGCCTGGAAGCATAGCGCATCTCAGGCAGAAGGCCAGGGTGCTTTCAGCCCTGTCTCCTATTTCCTCCTGCACTGCTGTTGAGGATCAGCTGGTCACACGCCTTCCTGGAATGTGCATGATGATAATTGCCTCTTGCACAATTATCTGCCAAGCCCTGTCGGTAATGAAATGAATGATTTAGTTATCCTTGTTAGGAATAGCCCACAATGCTCAGAAACTCATTATTGCAGCCACGAGGCTGGCAGGAATGCCCTCCGAGGCACCTGCGAGTGAGCGGCTCTTACAATTAGCTCTCTCTTTTCTGCCAGAGACCACAGGCCCACCCTGCCCCCACCATGAACCAAGCACTGGAAGCATTCTAGGGGACCGCTAATAAATAAGCCTGAGGCTGAGGTTCAGCTGCAGATCTTACTGGACAAGCACAGGGCCTTGGGCTTGATGTCCATCACTGAAAGAAATATGAGGCTGGACTGGGCTTCTCATCTGCCAGCTTTGACCCACACAGCATGAAACTGCTTCCTTCCAGTGCATGGGAAGGCTTACCGCAAGCTCTGTGGTGATGAGCATGGTGCAGAGGCCACTAGGGTTCTCAAGAAAGCTTCCTTGGTCAGCTAAATGCAGGGCTCACATTCTACCCCATGATCCCATTTCACACTGCCTCTCTGGAGGCTTTTCTTGTCCATTGTTTCATAGTGATGGTTCAGCCTCTCCCCCTGCCTCAGCCTTTCTCTACTGCCTTTAGCTGCTGGGTCTCAAGGGTAAGGAGGATGAAGAAAGGCAGATCGAGATGGGTGTGGCTGGGGAAAGTTGAAGCCAGGGATGCAGAGACACATGGTGTTTGAGGGAAGCTGTACCACATGAATCTCCACGTGTGCCCACGTGCTCTCTTCTTGTTTTCTGGAAGATTCAATTCAGAATTAACTTCTTTAGGACAGGGGAAAAAAAGCTCGCACAGTTTTAGTTCAGCTTTGAAGCAGAAACATTGCTCATTGACCACCGCTAGAGCAGCACACCTCTGAGGCCTGCAAATGGGGTGAGTGCCTAAACCCAGCTTGGCTCCACCCTCTTCAAGGCTCCAGTCTGGATAAGTGATGTGGAAGGACCCTGGAGGGGACATGGCATCACATCTCATGCAGCCCAGCATGTGCAGCCCAGCGTGGTTCTAGGAAGCCACTGTCCTTTCCACATCTTGAGGTCTCTTCATCATCTTGGCCTCAGGTGTGTAAACTGGAGAGTTCCCTGACCGTGGTCCTTTGCGTCTTTACAGGGTTATAGGGCACAGTCTGTCGGAAGGGGAAACTGAGGCACTGTTTTGTAAAGAGTCCGGTGGGAGGAGATGCTCTGTGGTTGCTGTGGAGCCAGGTGCAGGAGTTGGGTGTTGTTCTTCCTCTTGTGAAGTGATGAGGGTGGAGCTTATGAACGAGAATTCTATGGACAGCCATTTTAATCTCGGCTCTGTAGGCACAGGTTGAGGGAGGTAGTGGAAGGAAGCCTTGATCTGGAGTTTGCGGTGACTACAACTTTCCTGCACATCCTTGCTACATGGGGAACTGGAGGAGAGGTAAGGATTCAGGAGGTTGAGAAAGGCAGAGGCCTAGTCCTTCATCTCTGTGAGAAAGAGACAGAAAGGAGGAGTTACTCTGGGGCAGGCAGGCTATAGGGTGCTGGCGATGCCCATGCATACTGCTTCTAGGTAGCACCACTGATGTTTTGTTTTATTTTGAGATGAGACCTTGCCATGTAGTCTAGGTCAGTCTTGAGTTCACGTCTACATGGTAAGAGCACCTTTGCAAGAGAAGACATTGTGAGACAGTCCCCACTGGGACAGTAGAAGACTGTCCACCTCCTTGTGGCACTGTCCACCCTGAGTTCCTCCTGACCCTTATCCTCCATGGTGCCTCTTATTTTCTTTGATTGTAAGAAGAGCAGGGTGTGCAGTCAGAGTGGACACCGATGGCTTTGGGGACTGTGTGTGTGTGTGTGTGTGTGTGTGTGTGTGTGTGTGTGTGTGTGTGCCTGTGAATGTGTGAAGGGGCTGGGGCTCACCAGCAAACCAGAGCACAGGATCAGAGAGTTTCCGGGTGAGGTGGGGCAAGTCTGGAGTCAGCCCAGAGGATGCTTGAGCCACACTCCTGTCAGCCTGCACAGCTGGAGCAGCAATCGTGGCTGCACTCACTGAGGAGCAAAGAGCAGCCCTGGAAGGAGTAAGTAAAGCAGCAGAGGACCAGAGGGTTTGGTGGGAAGTGGAAGAATCCAGGGATGCTCAGTCATAGCTGGCCTTAGAGTATGAGACAAGAAGAAAATTGAAGAGGGGGTATCTTTGCGCCTGTCCGTCCCCGGCCTCCACCCCCTACCTGATGCACATATCCATATCCCTGTCCCTTGAACCCTGTCATCTTGAAGCCAGAGGCTAGAGATCCCAAATAGAGCAACCAAGGGTGAGCGCAAGGACCACCGTCACCAATAGCATGTCCTGCAGTATACGGACGGTGCACGTTGGGTGTCCCAAAGCAAGCCCAGACATCAGTGCCTGTGTCAGGGTGATGGGGAGGGGATCCTAGGTTCATAGACTCGCAGAGGGAGGCAGGAAGTGCAGGCAGCAAGGGTTTAGACAAGATGCAAATCCTGCTTCTACTTCCAGGTGCTCACTTGGCCGTACCCTGGAAAGCGGTGGAATACGCAAGCCCGGGCCTCAGACAACAGAGGTAGGAGACAGTGTCCGGCAATGGGGATTTTTCACTTCTTTACTCAGCTGACCTGTCGTTCTGCGGATAAGAGGTGGGAATGAGCATGTTGTGGAGCTGGCTAAGGGACGGATGGGGTGGGGAGCAGACATCCAAACTGCCATTGTCCCATTTTGCTTCTCTAGATTCAAGGACATGCCTGGTTTCTGGTCTGTATGCCACTCCCAGAGAACCTAAGAACCTTCTTTGTTCTCAGCCTTCTCCAGGTAACAGTGGACCCTGTGGTTTTAGTCCCAGAAGGACCCCCGGGAGCTGGCAGGCTACCTTGCCTACAGCTTGGGTCTGGTGTTCTTTCCAGGCCATATATTCTAAGAGATGTAGGTCCATTCCTTTTGGGGGCTCCTAAGGGATGAGTTGGAAGGCTTTGGATGAATCACTGTAATGTCTAAGACCCCTTTTTTTTTTATCGTCTCTGGACATTCCAACTTTAGTGAATCATCTTAACTGAAATCAGTGAGGTCTGGCATTCCAGACAGCCAGTGTGGAATTCACCATGGCCTCAGACGCCATTGCCACTGCCATTTCTTCCAGCTGCTGCAAACCTCTGCCCGGCTCTCTAAGCCCACAAATGTGGCCCTTCCTTAGATCCTTGGGAACCACTACTCCAGAGGTGCACAAGGAGCTTTTACTGTGTCCAACACAGCATCTACCCCAGGGGGCTCCCAGTGGGGCCTGGGGCAGGGGTGTCAGGTGATGTAGGCGACTATTAGTCAGGGGAGACAGGCAGTTAAAGGTGCAAACTGTGGGCATGTAGAGGAGGCAGCACCTGCCTCTGGGCAAGGGCCTGGGGTATCAGAAAATGCTTTTCGTGAGAGGTGGCAACAATTCATGTTTGTACCGAGCAGGAGACTGAGCTGGGCTCATAGGTCTTTATGGCACTGCCCGCCGGTCGAGGCACCGAAGGTGCAGAGGTCAAGCACATCACAGAGGTCAGGAAGCAGAGGCAGGATGCAAAGCCAGGTGCTCTGGCTGTAGAGCCTGTATCCCCATCCCTGGTCCCTAGCCTCTAGAGGAGCCAGTGAGCTAGCCTGGTGATGCAAGACCCACCTGCCTCCTTCTTATTAGTTTGCTGTCTGCCAAAATGGCAGAGTGACCTACTCCAAACACCAAAGGACCTCACACCACCTTCGTGGGCAGCTGAATGCTTTGCTGAAGCTGAGGCTGAGGCTGAAGGCCTGTGGTTGCCCCCCCCCCCCCCGCTTCTGCCAGTCCCGGAGCCTGTGGAGGAGGCACCTTGGGGCTCTGGCTTTCCCTTGCTCCATTATTTATTTCTGTCTCCCTCCCAAACTGCAAAGTTGAAAGGTAGGGCCCTTGACTTAACAAATCTCTTTAAAGACAGGCCCTTCAGAGTGGCTGGTACCGTATGGGGGACACCGATTGATACCTCACAGGACACAGAATATACCCTGGAGAATGTGTCATTTTAATGGGAGAACCAGCCACTCTGCCTGCTGCCCGTTCTTGTCCTTGGCAAACCCCGCCTCACACATGCCACCTTCATGCTCAGGATCCTCAGTAGTTCCCGTCGCTTCCGTGACCCCGGAGGCAGGTGTCCTATCAGTGTGACAGTGCTCACACGGACAAGAGTGGAGCCAATCAGCACAGCACTGTCAAATAAATAAATAAATAAATAAATAAATAAATAAGTAAGTAAATGGCAGAAGCCATGTTCCTTAACCAGCCCCCAGCACCCATCCTGAACTACCTCCTCTTTCTCAATTCTGGTGGGTGGCCTGCTTCTCCCGTCAGAGATCTCCATCCACCTGTAGATGCCCAGGAGCTCAGCGCACTCAGGTGCCACACATCCTTGCTCTGGCAGAAAGTGGTATCTCCTCCCATTTGTTGAAGTTTGTCCATCTCCAGTCGGCCCCTGACCTATAGAACAACTCCTGTTCTCTTGGCACCAACCCTGGAGGTTGGAGTGTATCTTCCGTCCTCAGGCAGCCTTGGAGCTCCTTGTATATAGGAAGGATGTGGGTGCAAACTTTAGTTCAGCCCAGCTCCTTGGTGCCCAGCAGGGCTTCATGCCTTTTAGATACCCAGAGTGGTTCATAGTTGTGGTTTCTATTTACACACACACACACACACACACACACACACACACACACACACACACACACACACACACACACGGTCTTGGACACAGTGGAATGCTCTCACAGCATCACTGTGTCCGTCTTCCCAGACATGAGTGTCAGAATATCCTGAGCAAACGTGACTTTGAGACTTGATCCTCACCTTTGTCCCAGTCCTTCAAGTTCACGACTGCCTGGCTCCTGGCTGACCACAGCTTGCTCACTCTGCCAGTCACTCGACTATGGTGGGCTGGGGCTGAGGACACAACAGGAAGTTGGGGAGAAGAGCACGTGCCAGAACCACTGTGAGTGGAGTGAGATGGTGTTCCTGGGGCCTTGCGACAGGAGGCAGTGAACAAGCTCCCATGGCATTTTACCAGTTTGGGTGTCCATTCTGCCAGTTCTTTGCCGTGTGACGTGAAACTCTCCTGGGAGTGTGGTGGGGCTCAGTTTGTACGTGTGAATGGAGAGTTACAATACCTACCTACTAAAGGGAATGTTTGGAAAGAGGGTTGAACTCGACGATGCCTGAGCATTTCCCAGGCTGGCAGAGCTTGGTCACAGCCACGGGACAGTCACATCATTACTGCTAATGGTTCCATTTCAACCAGAAGCAGAGTGAAAGTTTCTGGATTGGAAAATCCTATCTGAGGCCCAACAAGTCACTGGATGGAAAATGGGTATAGCGTCATGGAACCTGGGCAGGGCCTTAGTGTGAGAAAACCAGCCGCCGGGGGAGCAGATCCAACCTGGCTCTCGGCCCCCACCCCACACATGGCAACCAAGAACCTGCTTTGCTTTTCTCTTCATTTCTTTCCTCTCTCCTTTTGTTTGATTTTTTCGTGGTTGGGGATTGAACCTGGGCATCGCGCACGGACTCTGCCACGGAGCTATGTCTTCAACTCTTTCTGTTTTTATTTTCAAGACAGAGTCTTTTACTAACTCACCCAAGCTTGTCTTGAACTCATAATCCTCCTGCTTCAGTCTCCCTAATAGCCAGGATTACAGGCCTGGCTAAGAATCTGAGTTTTCAACGAACAAAATCCTTCCATGATCAAGGTTGGCCTTAGTATATTTGGAAGTCCTTTTGTGATCACCCCAGGAGCTTCTCCCCTTCTTTTCTAAGATAGTAGCCATCTGCCTGCAGACAGGTAGACACCGTGGGAACAGAAAGCCCACAGAAACAGCTGGTTGACCCCAGGTTAACCCTGTCAGTAGGATGTAGTCTCACCGAACTTCCCTTTCATGACCAGCAGATGGCGAGCGTGTGTTAGTGCTGCTGATTCCTGGATGCCATCGAATTATTTGCAAGGTAAAAATCCTCCACCTGCTCCTATATGGAGTTCTATCAGGCAGGTGTGGGTAGCATTCCAGATATCCAGTGAAGATGTCTTCCTCCAGCTGGATGCAGAAGCTTTGTTCCCAGTACTTGCATAAGAAATGCTGAGATACTGAGGTAGCATCTTTCTACTATAAGAGTTGTTGGGTTCCTTACTCTTGACCTATGCACCCACATAGAGGCAGGTACCTCCCACCTGCTAGCAGCTGGATTCTAGATTAAATTAAAATGGAAAATGAGCAATTTAAAAAGAAATACTAGGGCAAAAGTCATCAGACAGCAACACCAACTTTCTTTCTTTCTCTCTCTTTCTCTCTTCCTTCCTTCCTTCCTTCCTTCCTTCCTTCCTTCCTTCCTTCCTTCCTTTCTTTCTTTCTTGTTTGTTTTTTTGTTTTGAGACAGGGTTTACCTGTGTAGCTTTGGAGCCTGTCCTGGATCTCTCTTTGTAGACCAGGCTGGCTTTGAACTCACAGAGGTCCGCCTGGCTCTGCCTACCTAGAGCTGGGATTAAAGGCGTGCGCCACCACCGCCAAAGCTACATGTCAGTCAGGGAAGGAGCCTGGCTGGGAAACCCAGAGGGTCTGCAGGACCCTGTGGATGGATCAGTTCATAATTCATTTGTGGTAGTGTGGAAATAAGGGGCCTTTTTCTTATAAGCCTCTTACATGGTTCATTGCCAGGGTTCTGGGAGGCAAGATGGGATGTCAGAAGGAGCCTAGTCTCTGAAGCCAGACTACTTAAATCCCAGTTTGGTCATGTATTATTAGTCATGTGCCTTTGGACAGGAGTCTGAATTTCTGGAGACCCAGTTTCCTTATCTGAAAGGCAGAAGCCACAAAAACATAAATTGCAAACTATTATGTATTGTTTAAATGATTTTAGAGTCATATAATGAACTTGACATCTGCAGGTGCTAAATAGATGTTAATAAATGGCTGCTGACATTTGTTTTGTTTTATTTTATGTTTTCCTTCAGTAAAGTAAGTTAATCACCTGTCCTTTCCAAAGGGGTGTCTGAAGTTCTAGAAGACGAGCCTGGAGGAAGAAGGCCCCAAGAAAGGACACAATTCCCTCCTCCCTCTCTAGGTCTTCCTTCTGTGAGAACCTACGTCAGCTCACCTTCCAGTGTGCCTGTTGACATGGCACCATGCTCTTCAACTGATGGGCCAGAGTCCAGGGCACTCTGCCTGGGAAGGTGAGTGATGTCCCTGTGGAGGTTCAGCCTCTCATGGAGCAGGTCTCTGCTGGGCTGAGTGACAGCTTGGGAGATGGGTGTCCATGCCAGCACAGCTTGTCTCTGAGCTGGCCCTTCCCTGAGGTCATGAGGCCAGGCCTTTGTTGCTCCTTCGTGCCTTCCAGGAGCTCAGGCAATAGCCCAAAGAGTGAAAGGGAATTATTCATATACTCACATAGCATTCTGCTCCCCCAGCCCTCCATCATGATCTTAGCTGGTTCACTCCAGATCTCAGGTAAAATCTTACTGATGATTTTCTCTCCCACCTGTCTCTGCAGCCTTCTTCAGTGGATGCTTAGGTTTTTTTGGCATACATCTTCAGAGCCTGGGGCCTCTCATAGGTCCTATCTATAGGGGAAACATCTTTTATGGTGATATTTTATTTGTACTGAAATATGATTTTATTTGCATGTTAATAAATAAAGTTGCCTGGGGGTCAGAGCTAATAGCAAGCCACAGAAGAAGCTGGGCAGTGGTGGTGCATGCCTTTAATCCCAACTTTTGGGAGACAGAGCTAGGTGGATCTCTGTGTGTTCAAGGATACAGCCAGCATGGAGACACATTGAGACACATCTCAATACCAACCACAGAAGACCTGGAGGTCTGTACAGACAGGCAGTGACAAGGAGGTCATGTGGTTGGGTCTACAACCAATGAGAAGGCAGAATAGAAAGTCTATAAAAAAGACAAACAGACAGGAAGTAGCTCTCGTGCTGAGGAGGACAGAAGTGGCAGTGAAGGGTAAGGTTTTTAGCTCTGACCTCTTGGGCTTTCATCTTTGCATTGGCTCTGTGTTTCTCATTTAATACGATGGTTACACCTACAATCTTTCATCCTCTGGCTGGTGAGAAGACCCTGTTAGCGCCAGGAATCTGGGCTGACCCCTCAGCTATGTTTTGAGTTACACCCGTGTCCTGATACCTAATCATGAACAGGTCTCTCTTATCCCAGGGTCTTCCTTGGTCTCCCTACATGTCAGAGTCTCAGTAGCTACCTCCTTTGTTCTTTGGAGCTAACCATAATGAATGAGCATGATAGAAAACTTTTAACAGGTGACCAGGGCTCATTCCCATCACCCACAATGTGAGTGCTGCAGCTAGATGGCCACTAAGCACAAGCATCCTGTGACCCATGACTGCTGATCTAACACGGATGCCTGAGTACCCTGAGGCTTAGGGACCATCACTGACAGATATTGTTGACAGTCTGAGGTATTCCTCGTAGGAACTGGGAGTCACTCAGCTCACCATCAGTGTTAGCATGACAAAAATGGATGACTTGTGGGGGGTAGAAGCAATGAACTTGAGAAGAAGGAGCAAGAAGATTCCTGGGATCATGGGCTGGGGCTTGAGTTTTTTGTTTTTTGTTTGTTTGTTTCTGAACAGTGGGAGGTCCTGCTTCTGCTGGTGGACAAGGGGACTAGACAAGAGGAACCCAGGAAGGGAGTTGTCCCTCCTCAGGATGATTTCTGATGCTCTCTCCCTTAACTCCCATGCTTTATTTCTTCTAGGATCCGTGACCATCACTGCTCACTCTCTCTGCCATCTCTTCACCAAGTACTGCTTACAGATGAATTTCAAAGCAACCATGGTTTTCCATGTTGGCCTCATCATCCTTTCCTTCAGCTTCCACCAGAAGACATCTCTCAAGGGACACTGGAAGAGGACACTCCTCTTCATGGAGACCTGGGCAGAGGACAGCATAGCACTCATCAGACCTCCCCTGTCCCGCCCCACGAGCTGCAGTTCATCTAACAAAAGAGGAAAATCTCCTCCCTTCTAGATTTCAGGAAGAATGAAATGGACTCAGGCTTCATACCCACTGCTCACATGGATTTATACTATCTGTGCACCTCCTGCCTCTACTAGATATAGTTCTTTAGTGGAAGGGACTGTCTTGTTTTCAGTGGCCACTATACTGGGCACCTACTTCATCTCAACAAATGTGCCTCTGAGGCTTGGATTCTACAGCTGGTGGTCATGGCCACTGTAAAGAACAGGTCTGGGTGTGGACAAAGTCAAGGATGGCTTGCCATCTGACTTGAAGTGGGAAACTGACTTGGTTTCCGATGTGGCTGTGAACAACTACCTCCTTCCACACACAGCTTTTGGCTCACCACCCTCAGCATGTGTGTCTCTGTAGTTGTATGTTTCCATAGCACGTTATTAGAGTGAGAGAAAGGGATATATGCACGGATCAGAATTGTTTTCTGTCAACATGCGGATTTCTCTGCTTTATTCAACTGTCAAATAAATATTGACAAATGAAATCATCTGAGGTCAACGGTTCTCCTGTCTCAGTGGGAGACACCAGAGTCCACTAAGAACTCTGAACGTAAACTGTGCAAAAAGTTTCTACAGGGTGATAAGGGGACTGTTGAGAAATGGTTGTTCTTCATTTATTCTCACATATAGAAGTCTCCTGAACCCCCTCCCTGCCAATCAACACCCGAGGCAGGTGGGCGAGCTGGCCCCGGGGTCATAAAAGCAGGAGAGCTGCCGGGTGGTGATGGCACACACCTTTAATCCCAGCACTTGGGAGGCAGAGTCAGGCGGATCTCTGTGGGTTCGAGGCCAGCCTGGTCTACAGAGCGAGATCCAGGACAGGCACCAAAACTACACAGAGTAACCCTGTCTCGCAAAACCAAAGGAAAAAAAAAAAGAGCAGGAGAGCTGTCCCAGTCCCCCACCAGCTGCAACACTCGGGAGAGCAGATCCTGCACCTCACCTGGGCAACACAATAGAGCCAACTCAATTGGCAGAGGTGTGGGTGAGCCAGCCCAGAAGTTGTGAGCATGGGAGAGCTGTCCCTATTACCCATCTGTTACGTGGTGGCGTGGGTTGGGGAAAGATGCCTCCACCCATCCATCAATGCCTGAAGCAGGTGGAAGAGCTGATCCCTACTTTACTTGGGGATTTGTTGAAGTTTACTGTCTTCCGTGTATATAAAAATAATATTTTTAATTTTAAAATTTCCAAATTTTAATATATATATTTGGTTTTTCAAGACAGGGTTTCTCTGTGTAGCTTTGGCCTCTCCTGGAACTTGCTTGGTAGCCCAGGCTGGCCTCGAACTCACAGAGATCCGCCTGGCTCTGCCTCCCGAGTGCTGGGATTAAAGGCGTGCGCCACCACCGCCCAGCCCTATATTTCTATATTATACTACTGAATATTTTCTTGATTTTCAAACTCATTCCCTGCCCCCCACATACACACTGCTTTAAAGTGGAATTGCCAGGGTCACTGCTTTGACTTCCTGGTTGTTCCTCTGTAGCAGTGAGGAAGACAGTGAGAACCTCAGAGCCACTCCAGACCAAGGGTGGGCCACATCCAATTCTTCCAGTGCTTTCAATGGACACAGCACTAGCCTGTGGATGTGTGAACTGGACACCTTTCCTCTTCAAATGAGAGAAGTGAGCCTGAGAGGCTTAGAGGTTAAGTGACTTACTTGTTCAAGGTGACCCAGAGTATAAATGATGGAGCGCCACCTGCACCCAGGCTTGTCTTGTTTTGGATCCTATTCCCTAAGAGTGCTTGGAGGGTGACAGGGTCAAGGACTGAGTTCCCCGGAAGGAAGTTCCTGAGTAAGCTGGAGTCTTTAGAAATATCCATCATGAGGTGAGCCCAGATGTGGCCCAGCTGTGCACCTTGACAGCTGAGTTCTATCTTAGTACACAATATTATTTCATTTTTAGTGTTTGCAAAGTGCTCCTGGCAGCTGAGGAGCATAAATTGATGCCTTTCTCATGCCTGCTTTCCTTCCTGGGCTGTGAACACAGCGGCTAGAATTGACCTACGAGAGAGCAGCCAGCAGGTGGTGCTGTCTCAATTAAAGCAGGCCACTCCTGCCTGTGACATGACAGTAAACTGGTCCCCAACATTTGCATCATGGAGGCCCCACCCTTTAGTGACTTTCTCGTAAGAACCTGCACAGGTCTGGGACTGCTCCAGGCTCTCATTAACACACACTGGGACACTGGCTTCTCTCCATCCAGCCTTTCAGTGCTTGAGGTAGCCAAGGGCATGATGGAAGAAGAACGCTGGACTAAACCAGTAAGAACCTTCCTCTGGCCTCTGTTCCTCAGAAAGGCCCTAATGACACTCTCACCACCAGAAGTGACCATGGCCCTGCCACTTGCCACTCAAGACCTGCCCTCCCAATCACCTTATTTGAACTAACTAACACTAAGTATCCAGATCCATAAAGTAGGGTTACTTGCAGCACCCACCTCTCAGTGTTGACTGTGTTGGCAGTGGCATTCTGTTCTGACTCAGTTTACCTGGAGGCAGGGTCAGATATAGAGGGTAAAGGATTGACTTATGAACCCAGGCTGCTTCACCTGTGCTTCTGACCTGATGCCCACAACCCCCTTCCAGACAGACCTGTAGACCTTGGTGAAATGCATGTATTTACCTATTCAATCTAAAGGCTGCAGATAAAGAGATGCACAGAAGAACGAGGTATAGAGCCTACAGAACGCACTCCAAGGACCCACATGTCTTCAGCATGCAAGCTCCCTGAACTCAACTCTTTGACGTTTTCAGGGAGACTTCATTGCGTGGACACAGCTGATGAAGTTGTTAGCTGCTAGTGACAAACTGACGTCAGTCGCTCTGTGCTAGTCCCCACCAGCTCTCAAGTCCTGCCTCAGGTCTTCCAGTGACAAGCCCTCATCCTGAAGCTCCCTAGGGGCTTCAGCCTTCAGACCACTCATTGTTCTGGAGAAAAATCCACCCCTTTGAAGATTCCAAAGATCTCAGGGGTTGTATTGTAGGACATGGAGCTGAAAGCCAAGTATCATGACTACACAGCTCAGCTCATGTATTCTACATGAACTTGCATTCTACATGGAACCTAAGATAACCTACAAACTCAAAACTGTGTTTCCATCTTCTAGAAGGAAGAACAAAGGTTTGGACAGGTTCGTTTACCTGTCCACATCATGTAACTAGTAATACCAAGTACAGACTGGGGACGCTAGAGAGATGGCTCAGTGGTTAAGAACACATACTGCCCATGTAGAGGACCAGAATTCCCAGCACCCATTTCAGTCAGCTCACAACCATCTGTAACTCTGGTTTCAGGGCATCTGCCACCTTCTTCTGGCCTGCAAGGGCAACTGTACTCCCATGAAAATACCCCCATGTAGACACACATGCATACACATAATTAAAAATAAAAATAAAAAATGTAAAAACAAGAAGTGTAAGGTGGCACTCCTGCCTTAATATTTTGTCTCCCAGTGGCAAGCTCTTTAATTCCATAGAGGGCTAGCAACCTTCTTTCCTCACCTCTGACACACACACACACACACACACACACACACACACACACACACAGGGGGGAGAGAGAGAGAGAGACAAACAGACAGAGAGA